GGCTTTCTCAGAAACCAAACATCTTCCATGCCCACATGGTTAAAAATCATATCCAAGGCCTCGGCACTCTCTAAGCCCATCCATAAACATAGCAGTAGTATTTATTTACAAATTTACTTTCAACCCTTTTGTTTAAGGAGATACGATTACAAGGTAGCTATGAATAACCTTGTAACAGCACAGCAGCTACAGACATGGCGTTATTTCATATCCATTTGATAGGCACTGACATTTTAACTGGAAACAAATTAATTTCGAAGTAACCAAGAGTCACTGTTACCAAACCTTCGGCCAGAATGCTCTGTAGAAAGGAGCATGTCAGGTATTTCACTGCACTCATTACAAATCAATCCATTTCTGTGATCAATTTTGTTCACTCATCTCGATCTACAAAGATGATAATAATTTTCTCCTGGATTAATTCATACACTTATGAGATGCAAAGGAGATGTAAATTCAAGCCCACCTTCTTCAGCCACCCTGAAGGACCCCAGCCTAACCTACACGGCCATTAAACACACAGCAGCAAAGTGCTAAACTTGACGAATATTCACAGATGAATTCAAGGAGGTGTCATTTTATAAAGCTGAAATTGGTCCTATCTTTCCTCAAGCCGAGTACTTTCTTTGGTCCAGCATCTGCCTGCTTCATGTCAGCCTATTATGCCAATACCATACAAGAAATGTAACACCCTTCTGCTAATAGAAATATTTAGCTCTTTCACTCTCAAGCGCTACACGGGGTATGGCTTTGCCAGAATTAACCAGGAAGCATAGGGTAAAAATTATTCCGGTCAACAGCATTCCACGCACAAAACCACAGCTCAGATTTGAAGAACAGATGACAACTATTCACCATAGATCTGTTCGGTGCTAAAATCACGTCAGCCACTAATGAGAAAGCACTACCTTCCTGTGCAGCTCTGACACAAGTTTTCCTGGGAGAAAGGGTTATCTGGCCCCTGTAGCTGAGATGTCTAATCAAAGAAATTGAAACAAGGCAGAAATGATGAGCAACTGTTTGTGCAGCAGCAACTACTTCATTAGGATTTCTCCACAAGAAGAAGTAAAAATTAGAGCCTGATTTACTTCAAAATTATGCCACCTGCTTAAAGAGCCTTAAAGAAAAAAAGTGACCCTTGCTTTAGGAACCTGGTGATGCCCAATCCACCAAGGTGTTCAGCATGCCAAACGTCCGCGATTCCCATCGGCTGCAGGGGGATTTGACAGAGCTTGCTAACAGGAGGCATTCGGCATCTCATTAGTTCAGGCCTTTATTTTGGGGAGACGCAGGGCCCTCCATCACGCAGCCGTGCTCGAGGACACAGATTCTTTGAATGGGAAAAAGAAAGCAAGCTGCTCCAGGTAGAAAACTGAAAACATTTTCCTCCTCTTAGGCCAGTTTGCTCCTTCTTATTTCACTGATCACGAAGAAAATAACTCACACGGTCTCTGTGCAGAGACCAGACTGAAACATTCACAAGATTCCTAGTACGAAGTCAGCCCAAGTTTTCCAAGACGTTTTCTTCCTATGCTGCATGGTGTCATTAAAATCCCAGTTCTTGGATTAGTTACCTTAGCAGTTAGGCTGCACTTTGAGGCAGAATAAATCATTACTTAGAGACTACAAAGTGCGGTATTTACAATTCTGCCCTGAATCAAATTAAACTCCAATTTCAGAATGTGGCCAGTCTTATGAATATCTTAATTTATCAAGAGATAATAAAAAGGAGAAGCCATATAAACCAGTCACACAAACTGCGAGGCCTCAGAGTTCAGCTGGCAGGGAAGTGAACTGTATATACTGACAGTGCCACTCAAGTGAATGTCAGCCACCTCACAGAATAATTTCATAGGGAAAAGTAGGAATGCTCTACTTTTTATCGCAGTTCAACTCATGATACCCTGTCTACCCTTGAAATAAACATTTCACAGTATTTGACACCGCTGCTATAGGTAAGCTCTGGACAAAAAGCAGCTAAAATAAACGCAAAAAGAGCTGCAGTGGTTGTGAACTTTCTGTGATTGATGGCAACTCACTAAAAAGCTGCGAGAAGAAGATGTAATGGGAATGAGCCCCGTGAAAATCTACGGGTAAGGAAACTGCCTCCCTACAATTCACCCTGTGCGCTGCCAAACCTCTGCAGATGATGGAAGTGACAGATAACCTGAGCTTACACACCTCGCGGTGCCACAGCCGTGCTTCCGTGCCCTGCGCTAGACAGCACCGGCCCTTTCCACCACCCAGCTACGGCCAGGGATGCGCGGATGCGCTTCCAGGTGCCCTCCACGCCGCAGGAGGGTTTTGAGGGGACACTCGCAGCGCAGCCAGGACCGCCGCGGCGTTCGGGACCTGTGGGAAAGCGGCGGGATTCCAAACTCTCGCCCTGGCAACTTTTGCCCGACATCCAAGGGCACCTTTACGCTGCGGCCGTTTCCCCCGCCAGCCGTGACCGGCATCTCCTACCCGGTGGCCGACGCCAAGCTGATGCCCTGGGCGGGGGTTACTCCCGCAGGCGGACACGCTCCGGACGCGCCGCAGACACCGACCCAGCGACGCTCTCCCCGCGGCCGGCCCCGTTCCCCCGGGCACCGCCACCCAGCTCTCTCCGCGCCCGCCCCGCGCACCTGCCCGGCCCGGCGCACCCGCGGCGCAACCGCGCAACTTTCTCCGCCCGCTGCCGTCGGGCCCCGCATTTTCGGTGACCCCCGTGCAACCCCGTCCCAGGCCTTGTATCCCAACCCTGCGCACCCGCGCCCCCTCCGCTAGGGCCCCGCGACCCCAGCACCGACCCCTCCTGCGCTTTAACTCCGTTTAAACACATGGCAAAGTGCGCCGGGTCATTCGGCCGATAAAGAGAATATCGAGAAAAGGCAGGAATATCGGCATCAAAGGGCACGGAAAAATTAATTGCTCCCCCCCCACCTCCCCGATAATAAAACAAACAACAGGCAAACAAGGAGAAAGTAGCAATAATCCTCATCTTTTCCCAGATCAAGGCTCTCATCCCGCGACTTGCATTTGATCTCCTGTGCTCGCTACCTACCCCTCTGATCCCATTTTCCATACATTTCCACAATTCGCAGCTCGTCCCACCCTTGGAAACGAAAAAAAAAAGGAAAAGAAAAAAAAAAAGAAAAAAGTAATTGCAAGGATAAGGAGAGTGAGGATTAAAACTCCCTGCCCTTCCCGGCCGGGGTTAGAGCAGGAGAACTAGCGACATGCAAATGGCAAGCAAATTGGAAGAGACAAAAAGCCAGGCGGCTATAATAAACCAGACAAAGAGGCGGCTCCGGGGAGCGGAGAGGGAGTTCAGCGCAGGGGACGGGGAACTTCGGCGAGGACGGGGTGGGGAAAGAGCTCGGAACAACAAAAAGAAGCCAAATCCTCGCTGCGGTTCCCGTCCCCGCAAACCTGCGCTCCCGCCCGCGGCAGGAACGAACGGCCAGTCCGCGGAAGGTGGCAGCGCCGAGGGAAGGGGGGGGTCACCTAACACTTGCTCTGGGGCCCGAGGTCGGCTCCGCGCTGCTCAGGAGCCCCCCCCAGCCGCTCTCCCCGCCCGGGGCCGCGCTGCTCGGCGGGAACAGTCCCTGCAGTTTTGTCCCCTTGGAGAAAGAAGCGCAGGTTGGGTAACGGTGATGGGCATTTTGCTAGGGAGATCATCCTCCCCCGTCACCCCCCCCCCGGCCGTTCAGAGCAGTGCAAGGATTAAAAAGGAATAAAAGAAAAGGGGAAAGAAGCGGGAGGGACGGAGGGGGCGCGGAGCGGCAGCGGGTACTTACTCCGTGCAAAAGGCGACGACGCTGCAGCCTCTGGGTTTGCGTGGGGTTGCTCGGTCGGTTGTGTTTTGGGTTTGCCGGTGCAACGCGGGGAGGGGGGGGACACCCGCACAACGCACATGCACACCACCGCGCGCGCCCCGCACACGCGGACACGCGGACGGGCGCACGCGCAAGCTCCGCGGATGAGGAGCGGGATAAACTGGGAAAGAGAGAGAGAGAGAGAGGGAGGAGGGAAAGAGGGGAGGGATTGGGAGGGAAAGAGGGGAGAGCGCGGGCAGCGGAGCGGCGGAGCGGCGGCAGCGGGTCGCGGGGCAGGGCAGGGCTGGGCTGGGCTGGGGCCGGGGCTGTCCGAGCCGAGCGATCGCTCCGCACCGCCACAAGATTTACTTTAAGACACAGCTGAAGGAAACAGGAAGACTAGACGTCACGCTCGGAGTGACGTGAGCCCGGCCCGGCGCCCAATCGGGATGCTCCTTGGGACGGACGGGGGGGACGGGGAGAACTTGGCAGGAGCGGGGAGAGAGAACAGGGAATAACGTGGGGAAGGGGGGGGGGGGGTGAGGGAAGCGCCGCCCCGCACCCGCGGGAAGGTGCGGACAGTGCGCACCTGCGGACAGACGGACGCGGCCCGACGGGCACCCCCCGCTCTTCCCCCCCTCTCCTTCCCCCCCCCCAGTGGCGGACAAAAGCCGCCCCGCTTAAAGGAAAGGAGGGGGAGACAGAGAAACTTTAGGAAAGTCTTCCCCGCCGTGCCCCACGCGGGATGTTTTCCCCCTGCGGGAAAGCTTTCACAGAGGAGGAGCGCGGGGAGCTGCTGCCCCGGGGTGCGCGTCCTTCACGCGTTAAGCATCGGGTGCTGCTCCCCAAGGCGGGTCGCAAACTTCAGGGGACCGGAGCGGTGGCAGCGTCCCCATGTGCGGAGCGGAAAATAAACACAGAAACGAGAGTCACGTTGCGGTGCGTGGAGCAGCCGCCGGTGCGCACACCTCGTGTTCGCACCTGCGGCCCCGGCCCCCCCGTGCAGTGCGCCCCAAGTTTCGGGCAACTGAACCCTATCCCTAGGTCGGCACAGCCGGGGCGGGAAAGCGTTGGGAAAACGTGCTTTGGGGATGGAAACACAAAAGAGCATTTTGCCGGCGGGTCCTGGCGGCAACAGGGAGCAGAGCCCGCCGGGAGCGTTTTGTCCCGCCGGGAGCGCAGGTTTCCGCGGTGCGGCCCCGTTTCCAGCGCAGGGCGGCCCGGCCGCCGCCGGCAGGGAGGCGAGGCTTCCCGCGGGAATACTGCCTAAGGCTTGCAAGGGAATAAATTGATGCTTGGGAATAGCGTCCTGCGGAGGGACGGGAGGCGGCGGAGCGCTGCAGGGCGCTCGGCGGCAGGTAAGGACGGCGCTGGCCCGCCGGGCCCGTCCGCGCCCGCCCCTCGGGGCTGCCGTGAGGGGCGCCGGGGCTGCGGGACAGGGAGCCCCGAGGGGAGGGGAGAGCCCGGACGGGGCTGGGGCTGGGGCCGGGGCAGGCCGGGCTGGCGCGGGCATCCCCTGCCCAAACTTGCGCCGTCTCTCGGTGCCAGCGGCGAGGGGCCGGGCCGTGCCTCACCCCCTGCCCGCCCCGCTGCTGTAGGCCTGCCCTGCCCGCGGGGGGACGCGCGGCTCCCTGCATCCGCTCTTCGGGGTCAGTGACGCGGGTGGGTGAGCGGTGTGACAAAACCACCCCGCGCCCATCCCTAAGGAAGCGCTCGGGACTGGCCGAAGCGGAGCTGCAGCTGGGAAGCTGTTACTGCGCTAGAACAAACTTAAATGTCCCCGCCGCTGCCCCGGCTGGCGGATCCCGAGGAGATACATCTGGGAGCACCCGTCCTGCAGCCCGGCACCGGTGCGGAAGGCAAAGTCTTTCGGGGCCGCTGCAGCGCCGGGAGCGTAGGGCCCGGCACGTCGGGGCTCGCACGGCGGGAGACGGCTGTTGGTGGCGTTGGGACAGCCCCGCTCCTCGCCGCGCTGGGCACCCTCGCCAGCCGCGCTGTGCCGTGCCTGGGCCCGCGGCCCGTCCCGGGACCGGTGCTGGCCACCTCCGTGGCCGCAAACACAACGGGGCGCGTCCCGGGGCGCTCCGCTGCCACCACTTGTGTCCCCCAGCCCCAGCGCCGGGCGGCTCCGGAGCGGTGCCCGGTGCCCGTCGCTCCCTCCCGGCCCCCGGGAGCCTCTGCCCCGCTGTGGGTTGTTTCAACGTGAAACCTGCAGCAACAGCGGCACCGGGCCCGCCGCCGTCGGGGAGCGACAGGCAGGGGTAGCCCGGGGGCGCCCGGCCCGGCTGCGCCGTTCGGCTGCGCGGAAGGGGAGGGCTTGCTCCTTGCTTGTTCTTGCGGGGTTCGGCTTGTCCCGGTGACACGTTCGGCCTCCGGTTGTAGCTGTAAGTGCCGCAGGGGCTGCGGAACAAGGGCGCAGAAGTGTGTCTGGACGCAGGGGGAGATAGGCTAAATTTGGCGGGCGAATGACTCGCTTGAATTCTTTCCTTTTGTTTCCAATTTTCTCTTAAAGGACACCAGGATGCACAAAGAGATAAAGCCGAGTCGTGCCAAACACTAAGAAACAAGTAAATAGCTGCCTTTGACACTGAGTTTGTCACCAATTTAACTTCGAACGCTGCTGATTTACCCAAAAGAGAAACTGAGGCACTGGCAATGTCCCCAAGGTCACGCAGCAGAGCAGTGGCAGCTAGCCTGGCCCCAGCCATGGTACCATGTGCACAGGCACCTGTCACCCGGTCCCTCTGCCCCACTGCTGTAGCAGCCTGCAGGCTGCAGCCCTCCAGCCCTGTATCTGGCAGCTTTTCCCAGTCTCACCGCACCAGACCTGCCGCACCAGTAAGCACAACTGGAATGACATGCATGCTTCCCACTCTGCTGCCCACCATTGGGGGCACTGAGTGCTTCAGACCCTTGCTCTCTTTTAATCCTGGAGGATAGATTAAGAAATGCAAGTTGATGTCTCAAAAGCTCAGGAGCAAAAGCAATCCCCCACCTCTCACCCAAACTATAGAGCTTGGAGGAAAAGCCCTCGCTCCTACAGAATGCAGTTCATCAGAAGGGGTCCAGCAGCTCATGTTCAGGATATGAGGTGAACAAAGTCATCTCTGGTGCCTTGTCCAGGCTTCTGGTGGCTTGGGCAGTGGCAAGGCAGCTGCTCCCTGATTGTATTCCTTACTGCCCCCTTCCCATAACCGACCCTGAGCATGGTTCTCACCAGAGAACTGTCACAGATTCCAGTCTTCAGACTCCTGTGGAAGTCCCAGGTCCTTTTCCAAATAATGAATAGATCATAAGGTAGCCACCAGGTCCTTTTCTTGCCTGTTAATAGATTTTAGGGCAGTCACACTGTTCAGTTTTTGAGTTATGGGCATTTTGGATCCCAACGAAAAGTAAACTCTGTTCACAAAGTTTGGATTCAAAACCTGAGGGTGCCTCTGAAGATAACAGGTTTCCTGCATGCTGACAGTGTTCTGTGCTTGCATTTCTTTCTTTAAGGGGGGAAAAAACCCCCACAGATGCAAGAAACTTAGGCAAACTTGTGTAGTGTGCCCATGGCCATGAGTGATGCCTCTGTCCCTTTGGAGTTTGACAACAAAATTGGATGTGACAGGGGTATATTGTTGAAAATGCCTTTCTTTGATCATTTTCCTTGCTGTGTCTGTTCCAACTAAACGAGGGAACTGGGCTGCGAATACATAGCAGGTTTTCTTTTTCCTTTTCCCTCTTTTTTTCCCCTTTCTTTTTCTATTCTAGGAGTGGGGAAGATGCAAGTATTTATTCTCATGCATAAAAAGAACACCCCACAACCACTAAGGCCTGATTCTGCTCTTAGCCTTGGCCCAGAGCTTACACCTGATGTGAATTTAAAATAGCTCTATGATATCAATAAAGCATCGTCAGTGTGTGTGTGAAAGAGGAGAATGGGGTCCCTGATGTGTGTAAGTGCTGAATTTAGAGCCTTTCCTCCCTTCCCTTTGCCTTGGCTCCTCCTTTCAAGAAGGAAGCCTTTGGAAGAAAATGCCTTCAACCTGGCAAGTGAATGCAGCCTAGGTGGTTCAGCAGAGTGCAATGTAATTCAAAACCTTGATGGTTCCATTGATTGATGGAAATAGAATTGTTAGGAAATAATAATAATAATAAATAATAATAATAATGATGATTTCCCCCCCAAAAAAAAAAAAAACACAAAAAAAACCCCCAACCAATCAAGCAAACAAAACCCCCCAACAAACCCCATCAAAACCTCCAGAGAGGAGAAAGTGAACTAAACTAATCCTATTAAACGTGGTAGCATGTTTCTGTGCAGCTTGCTGAGAGATTAAGCACAGGAAAAGGGATAAGTGCTGCTTCAGTTTCACTAAACTAATGTGACAACTTGTCATTGGAAATCTTTACAGCTTGTTAGCAGATGACTAGCTGATTCAGATATGTTTTCTACCATTTCCTTTGTGTCTGGGGGTGATGCTTTTTCTTTCCTGTTCCTTTCTTATCCATACTGCTTTATTTTGCTTTCTAATCCTTCGTGTCTCCTTTGAATCAAAACATTCAACTTGCTTTAATCAATATTTTGTTTTGAAGGTGTTCCTTGACCTTTTGTTTGTGCAAATTAACCTTCAAGGGCACCTCATTCATTCATTAACCTCAGTGGGATGCTCTATCCCTTGTACGTGGCATTCTAGGATGCATAAAACATTTACGAATGTTTAGACATATTGCACTGAATGACTGTGATACTGCGGTGGTTACTACTGCTGCTGCTATAATATACTAATTTTCCTTCCATCTCTTTCCTTCCTTCTTTTTTCTCCTTCATTTCCTTCCTTTCATTTCCTTCCTTCCTTTCATTTCCTTCCTTCCTTTCATTTCCTTCCTTCCTTTCATTTCCTTCCTTTCATTTCCTTCCTTTCATTTCCTTCCTTTCATTTCCTTCCTTCCTTCCTTCCTTCCTTCCCTCCTTCCCTCCTTCCTTCCCTCCTTTCTTTTCCTCTTTGTTTCCCCCATTACCTCTCCCCCCTCACTTCCTTCCTCTCATTCACTTTGTCACTCTCTAGTTGCCTCTCTTGCTTGCTTTCTATCTTTCTTGCTTTGCCTTCCTTTCCCTTCATTTTCCTTCATCTCTTCCTTTCTTTTCTCCCCCATTTCTCTTCCTTTTACTCTATTTTCTCTATCCTTTTCTCACTTCACACATTGCTTGTGTAGAGAACGCAAGAGAAAGAGCTGTGTTGGAAGAGCTTAGCATTAGAAATCCCATTTCAAAAGCAGGTGCCTCAATGCTTTAGAAACATGTGCTGAGTCTCAATCCCTTCTCCCTTTCCCTTGGCCCTCCCCCGCCAGCAAAGGCATGATGGTTGAGTAAATGGAAAAAACCATTTTACAACATTAAAGGAAGACTGTTTGGAAAAGGAAGGCCCTGCTGAGGTGTAGAGGAAGCCTGTTTATTAACACTGGACACCTCTTATCTCAGGCAGCTCCAGATGGATGTCCCCTTGGCAATTCCCACTCGGTGCCAAGTGGGGTTAAGCAGGGTAACCACCTTGACGTTGGCTGGTGATCACCAGGGGATCATCGGCTCCTTCAGAGGGAAACCGCAGCACAAACTTGGGCTGGGGGAGGGAGAGGCATCAGGCTGGAGCATAAAGAGTTTGCACGTGGCCAGATTTACCTTTGCGGCTGTTAAATTGCTCGCTGCTTGGGACAGAGCCAGCTTTTGATTGAGAGATAAAGGAGTTCGAACCTGTCAATAATTAACTGTCACTCAATTAAGGCTTTCTTAACAAATTAGCACTTGGTGGCACCTAGGGTGCAGGTTTTTCATGGGAAAAGGCTGAGAGAGTGAAGTTGGCCATTAAGTTTGCCCACTGAGTGTCAGCTAACGTCCCGCTCAGTTTAAACGCCACGGTGTGGAATTGGTGCAATGGGTTTCCAAACCCTGCTCCTGCCAGGCTGCTTTTAAGGTTAACCATTTGTGCCTTCCCAAGTTAAACAGGACAGGCTTTGCTAAGTAAGAGAGATACCCCTGGTTGACCAGAGTATCCTGGTGGTTGGCTTTGAAGGAGCATCCTGGTGTAGGTGAGGTTTGAATTGACAGAAGTTGGGTCGAGAGCCCCTAAAATCCTGCAGATCCATGGGAACTGGTGGAGCAGAGTTCCGTAGCCTGCCTGCAGTGTAAACTGCTGCGATGTGTTTCTGCCTCACACGGGGCCCAGCCTGCCCCTTCCACTGGGTTGGTGGGAAGGTGGAAAGGGAAAACGTTTCCACCCAACCTTATCCCACATGGAAATTCTCACCCAAGCAGTTGCCACCAGGCTGTGACCTCTTGTCACTTCCAACCTTATGTGGCCCTGGGTACCTGGCT